TTCAGCAGGCTGGGTGTGGCTTCACAGCTCTCCTTTCCTAAGGCCTTACTTCAGATAATGATAATCCCTTGTGCTTTCTGTTTGCTGAGCACTGTCTCTAGCTTTATCATTGCTGATCCCCACCTTTGCCTCCTCCCTAAGGAGGAGATTATGATCTCCAGCACCCCTGTGCTGAGGAGGATTCCAGAGGCCAGAGTGGGAAGGGCTGGCTGTATTCCTGGCTCTCCATCCCCACCTCCCCAGCCTTGGGCCTGGCTGAGGGTGCGGCCTCTTTGAGAACTTAGTGGACTGAAGGTATTCCTGGCCTTCCCTGGGGCAGGCCAAGTATGATAGGGCTGTGATATGTGGGGGCTGGCTCCAGCTGAGCTTGGCCCTAGGGGAGCCTAAAGGGCCTGTGGCTCTGGGCCTCCCTTTGCCAAAGCCTGCCCAGACCAAGCGGCTTCCTTCAGGAGACCCTTGTCCCACAGCAGCAGGAAACTGTTCGTGGAGTCTGGGGCAGTTTCTTTCTGCTCCCTTCCTCTCCCCCCTTGGCAGGCAGTCCCAGAAGCTCAACTTGGCTCCTATGACCAGCCACTCTGCTCTTCCCCTACTGCCCTCAGCCTGTCTGCCTGTCTCCTTCCTGGTTCTTGACTCTCTCTGACCCTTGGAAAGTTTTGCCTTGTTTGTGCTGGTCATCAGGAAGCCCGGGCCTTCTGTGCTCCCTCCTCTGAGAGCTTCCAATGGGACTCTTTGAGGGGGTTTCCAGGTGAGGGGAAGTTAGTTAGGTGCGAGCCTGAGGCCCAGGGCTTCTGTGTCAGGCATCCTCCTGGGACTGGAGGGGTGGAGATGAAGCCATCATTTATTGAATACAGACTGGGTCAGGCTAGGCATGTCCCCCCTGCCACCACCCCACTTCTAATAGAATCCTAGTTGTTATCATTTTGATCTTACTGTTGATGAGAAGTGATTGGCTAAGGTCAGCGCTGTGAGTAGTGGGGAAGGCCTGTGCCATTTTATTTAGCAAGGGTTGGAATCAGGACTTGTACCCAGGCCAGCTGCCTCAGCCGCGGTCTGGTAATCCTGGGAGCTTAGGGTTAGGGAGAGCAGAAGAGAGGGGATTCTTGACCAAACAAAGAGGGAGCCATTTTGATCAGCTCCCATCTTCCTTCTGAATTCTGCTGAGGTCTTTTCTCTAGGCCAGATGTGTCCTGCCACACAGCTGCTTAAACAAACACTCCCATGAAAGTGCCCAGGCCATGTATCTAGGTACATTCTGGGTCATCTCATGAGCTACTTGCCCTGTGGCTGAGCTGTGTTCCACATTGTGCAGATCCCTTCCTGGTGACATCCCATGGGGATTCTCTAACTTGTATGGTTCCTTTTTGATTCAGCAAATGGTGATGGGGATTCATAATCCTGTGGTAGACTTCAAGAATACCTGTGGAGACTTCCCTGGCGGTCCAGTGGTTAGGATTCCGCACTCTCACTGCTGAGGGCCCGGGTTCAATCCCTGGTAGTTGGGAAACTAAGATCCCACAAGCCGCACAGCGTGGTCAAAAAATAAAAAGAATACCTGTGTTATCACTGGACCAGGGAACACGGGGACTCTGCCATCACCTGGTGGCAGCATATCTGATTGCAGTATTGTAGCAACAGGGGAGAAGTCCTCTTTTCTCCCCTTTTCGGCTCTTGCTGACATGCTCACTGAAGGCCTGACAAGCACCAGCAGAAGGGGTGGGCTAGCACACAGCCTCTGGGGGAGCAGCCCAGTGGGAAGCATAGGCACAGCCCTCGTTTTGACTTTCAGATCCGTCTGCGGTGCCAGAAGGGCATCCCACCTTCTTTGCGGGGCCGTGCTTGGCAATACCTGTCAGGAGGCAAGGTGAAGCTGCAGCAGAACCCTGGAAAGTTTGACGTGAGTTGCCCTTCCTTCACCCTGTCCTCCCCTCCTCGTCTCTTGATTTCCTTTGCGTGGCAGTGATCCTCTGTGGGCTCACCTGGACCTCAGCAGTATGAGTGATTGATGAGATCACTTGTCAAGAGCCTGACTGCCAGGCCTGGTCAGTCTGTGACTCCTGGGGGTACTGCTCATCTGAGGTTCCAGCCCTGAGAAGGCCTCAGTAGGATGGACAGATTTGAAGCCCCCCACTTCCAGCTCTTTGTCTTGACAACCGCCCAGGTTTGCTCTCTTGGACTCAGTGGGCCACCTCCCAGACTGCCTTGGGCCCTGTGCTCTGGGCCTTTGGGGGCCTGCCCAGCAGGGCCACAGAACCCTAACACCTCTTGGCCTCCCATCCTCTACTCTTTCTCCTGCCTTGTCCAAGCCAGCTAGACATGGTTCACCTGTGTTGCTTATGGGCTTGTCTGCATTAGGGATGGCAGAGCCAAACCAGTATCCTTATAGTTTAGAAGCCAGTCAGGGTCAGAGAGGTTACCCTCTGAAGCCATGCCTTCCCCTCCTGCTGCCCCCTGGCTCCATGATTGCCAGTGTGAAGAATACCCCCTCCATTCATGGGGCTTCTTGGGGCCCACGTGGGCTGGGCAGCTCCTCTAGCCTGCTCCTCTAGGGAACTAGGGGAGTCAGTTGGCTTCCCCGGGGTTGCCCTGGCTCACCTGCCAGACCTGGCCCCAGGCATCAGGGTATCTCCCAGGCTCTTGGAGCTGGTAACAGGCAGTGAGACAGAGCTGCCGGCCACCAGCTCTTTGTTGACGTGCTTCATGCTTCAGTGAACACTCCTGTGCCGCCAAACCTGTTCCTTGAGAAGAGGAGGCAGGGCAGCCTAGAGTTTCTGCCGTTGACCTGGAGGAGGTGAAAGCTGTTTGCTGGCAGCACTTGGCCCCGGGGGATCGGGGGTTGGTGGAGTGTCTGGCCAGGGTCAGACCTGAATCAGGGCGATTGGACTGTCCCATGGAGCACCAATATTGTGCCCCACTCAGGTGGCCTCTGGACTCCAGAGTCTTCCATCTCTTCCATTTCAGGGGGCTGCATTCTGGGCAGAGTGGGAGGTTCAGGGGTGGGAGTCTCACCCCAAGCCCATAGCTTACCTTTGGCTGCCAGAGCGCAGGCATGAGAGCCAAGACTTGGGTGGCCCAGTCAGCCTCCTGGTTCCACAGTTAGCAGACATGAACGCATCCTGTGTGAGGAGCAGAGCACGGAGTTCTATGTGCTTTACGTGTCTGGGGAGTGGTACGTCCAGAGAGGAATTGACCACCTCTGTGGGGTCTTGAAGGTTGCTTGTGGGAGGAGGTAGGTTTGCCAGGAAAGGCCTTCAAGATGCTCTGAAGCTGAGTGGTGGGTCCCCAAAGCAGTCTTGGGGGCCAGAACAGTGGTTTGTGAACACACCTGGAAGGACTTTGCCTGTGGGTGAGGTAGAGGAAGTGGATGGGGATGAGAAGCTCCCTCTGGCTGCTGTGGGCACAAGAGCCCAGAGGCAAGGGTGCAGTGATGGGGCTGGTGGTGGCAGCATATCCTGCTCCTGTGCTCCCCCACAGACCCAGGTGGCTGACCCCAACCTCAGCTGTCAGGGCAGGTTCCTCAGCCCCTGGTGGCTCCTTCTTCTCAGCACTTGCTACTTCTTCCTCCTTCCTTAGGCAGATCAGGACCTTCCAGCCTTTTTCTTACTTGGTTTTCTTCTCTGGCTTCACTTCATGATGGCACCAGCGCCTGCAGGCTCCCTGGGGGCTGCGGTAGCTGCATCATCCCCAGTGGCCCACACCTGCCTTTGATTCCCAGTACCCTTTCTCCCTGCAGGCCCTTCAGCTACACCTTTTCCTTTCTCACCCACCCCTGTGTGGCCGAGTGCCTTGGTCTGCTGAGGTAGCCGGCGAGCATATCCTAGCAACTGACTTTTTGGGTTCCCAGGTCCCCACCTCACTGGAACCTTCAGGAGAACTTGTGGGACCCTCCTCTCCCTCTGACAAAAGCAAACCTGCATCGTACTCAGACAGTATCCAGCCCTGGGCCTGACCTGCAGGGTGCATAGGACACACACAGGCCCCCATCTTGAGGGTGTGCGGGGCCCTACAGGTTGCATGTCCACCTCTTCAGCCATGTGCCTGCTCCAGGGCCCTTGTGGAAGCGCCTGGCCCCTCCCTCCACCCTCCAGCCTCCAGCACTGCGTCAGCTTTTTCTCTCAGTACTTATTCTCTCATGTCAAGTTACCTGGCACCTGAGGGTCCATATTTCAATGCTGGGACACCCCCACTGAGGGGGCACAAAAGGCAAAATGGACTTATATGAAGTCACCTGCTGGGCAGGGACCTGGGTCTACACCCATCCATGTGTGTGCTGAGGACCCAGCCTTCCTCCTGGGGGCCTCTCCTGACACTGCCCAGCGTGGCAGGCTATGAGTACTTTGTCTGCTTCCCTGCTCAGCCCTCTAGGTTTCCTTCCCGTTGATTTTTTTCTTTCTTTGGTTAAAGTTGAGGTATGAACTTATGTAAAGTAAAATGCATAGATGTTGACCATGCAGTTCAGAGTTTGGACAAATAATAAATACCCATGTAACCAACAAGCAAGTCAAGATATAGAACATTTCAAATGACCAAGTAGTGATTGTTTTGTGTGTAGTAGCTTTGTTTTTATAAATGGAACTCATGCTAAAATGCTCACGGAAGTTCAAAGAAAAGAGTAAAAGTTTGTTGAAACCCCAACACCCAGAGATGGCTTCAAGGCTAATGGTTTGACAGGTGTCATTACAGTGCTCAGTGCAGCAGGGCACACACACACACACACCCCTTCCTGAATATGTGGCACCACTTGTACAGGGAGATGGGCAGCAGAGGAGTTGGGATTGACAGCTCTGAGTCAACCTGGCTTCCAGGCCCAGCAACACCGTTTTTCTAACCACGAGGCATTGGGCAAGTAGCTTTTCTTTGATCCTCAGTTTCCTCATGTGTGAACAGTGTAATGATAGGACCTGCCTTTTGGGGGTTGAGGAGGACAGTCAGTGAGGCCCACGGGTGCCGTCTTAAACTGTGCTCAGAGTGGTGCTTCCAGGTGGTAGCCATTGCTTTGATAGTCGCCTTCCATCTTAAGGGTGTAACATAAGGTGTCTGAGTCCTGAATGAAGTGCCTAGAGGTTATTTCAAGCCACAGCTATGATGGACACTCTTACCCACACTGGTCTTCCTGGAGCCTGGATCACCTGTCAGGGTTTCCAGGACTCTGCTCTGCTTGTCTCTGCCCCTGCCCAAGCTTTCTGACCTGTCCTCGGGAAGGCCCAGTCTCTGATGGGATCGGGTGGACATTTTCCCTGGTGGTGGGTGCTCCTCCAAAACCTGGGACAGTTAGTTGTATCCTCCTAGCCATCCCTAACTCCTAAGAGATGCTCTTGACCTTGCTTCCAGGAGCTGGACATGTCCCACGGGGACCCCAAGTGGCTGGATGTGATTGAGCGTGACCTGCACCGGCAGTTCCCTTTCCATGAGATGTTTGTGTCCCGGGGGGGCCACGGGTGAGCAGGCTGGGCCTTGTGGGCTGGAGGTGGCTCTTCGCCCTTTCCCTCAGAGGGAGAGAGGAGGTAAAATGAGTTTGAGGGTATCTTGGGGGTCCCAGGAGTTGGGGGCCCCAAACTACACTGTTAGTTTCCCCTCTTTGGTTTGAGTCTGATGGGTCCTCTTAGTTTCTCCTCTTACGTCTGGGGGAACTTCATCATTTACTCCCCAGAGTGCTAGGGCTTGCCTGGCCTGGCCTTCTTCTGGAAACAGGTTTTGGTGGGGAGAAAGAAGGATAGAGAGAGTTGGGTGGGCAGAGGGTATGTAGGAGAGGAGAGATATGGCAGGCCAGGCCCTGGGACCAAGACAGACACCTGGAACAAAGCTGGCCTGACTCAGAGGCCACAGCTGCTGAGTGAGGGGCCCACACTTCTAACCCAGACACATCCTTACCCTGTATCTGGCATCTTGCCCTGGCCCTGACCCCTGTTTTCTTTTTGAGCCGCTGCCTTCACCTGTCAAATGGGGGAGGTGAGAGTCGATGTGAGGTCCGATTCTGAGAGAGGTCCGATCTGGTGGGGCACAGGTGAGGGTAGTGGGTGGCAGAGTCACACCTGTCATTCCTGCCCCGCTTGGCCTCTCCACAGCCAGCAGGACCTATTCCGTGTGCTGAAGGCCTACACACTGTACCGACCTGAGGAGGGCTACTGCCAGGCCCAGGCGCCCATCGCCGCCGTCCTGCTCATGCACATGCCTGCTGAGGTACCACCAGGCCTCAGGCGGGTGAGCGGCGGGCGGGCAGGGAACAACAGCCTGCAGCAAGGCCTCACGTCTCTTTTGCCCACAGCAAGCCTTCTGGTGCCTGGTGCAGATCTGTGAGAAGTACCTGCCCGGCTACTACAGTGAGAAACTGGTGAGTACTTGCTGGGCCTGGGCCCTGGCCTCAGACCCGCCCCAGCCTGGATGCCCTTTGTCTAGGCCTTAACTCTCTAAGCCATTCCTGTCCCTGCTTAAGTCCTTCCCAGCCTTCTGCTGCTTTCAGGCTGAAGTCCCAAGGCCTGCCAGGGTCAGGGCTCCCAGGCTCCAGCCTCATTAGTCCCACAGTCCCTCCATTGCTGCCTCCAGCCACAAGGCTGTTGGGCAGGATCGCTGTTCCTCCAGTGCACCGAGTTCCTCCCTGCCTCGGCCTTGTCATGGGCTTAAACCTCTGCCCCTTTCCTTCCACTTCTAACTCTATTTTTCCCTCAGCTTTCAGCCCTCCGGAGCTGTCCTTGACTCTGACAGGTGGCACCTCCGGCACACGCTCCCCCAGTGTTCCTGTTCCTGCCATGTTCTGGTCACTTAGCCCCCTCCCTCTCCCCTCCCTCTGGTCTCATTGCTTCTGTAATTCATGTCTGTCTGGCCCTCTGCACGACATGCCCCATGAGGGGGACTTAGCTGTGTCTGGTTTGCTCATTGTTGTATCCCAGCACCCAGCATGAGCTTGACAGCCTGCAACATTAGCCGCCTGAGGAACGAATGGATGCCTGTCTGGAGCTGGGGCCGGGCATAGTTCCCGCCCTGGCTGCTGTGGGCCCATGGTTATGGCCCTGTGGCTTCACTGTCCCCCCAGGAGGCCATCCAGCTGGATGGGGAGATCCTCTTCTCGCTGCTACAGAAGGTGTCTCCCGTGGCCCACAAGCACCTCAGCCAGCAGAAGATCGACCCGCTGCTCTACATGACAGAGTGGTTCATGTGTGCCTTCTCGCGCACCTTGCCCTGGAGCTCCGTGCTGCGTGTCTGGGACATGTTTTTCTGCGAAGGTACCGGACTGGGCTCAGGGGAGCACCCTTGCCCCCAGCCCAGCCCACAGGAGGCCTCTATTTCCAGAGAATCTCTCTAAAGGACCCCTTGCACTCACTGCCTGCTTCCCCCATGCAGGAGTCAAGATCATCTTCCGGGTGGGGTTGGTGCTGCTGAAGCACGCACTGGGCTCCCCCGAGAAGCTCAAAGCCTGCCAAGGCCAGTACGAGACCATTGAGCGGTTGCGGAACCTCAGCCCCAAGATCATGCAGGAGGCCTTCCTGGTCCAGGAGGTACAGCCCACACCTTCCCCTCGCCACTGAGAGGGAGGGGGAGACTTGAGGGCCCTTTGGCGGGGGGCCTGGTAGCCCTCTACCCCTGAGGCCTTGTGCTCAGCAGCCCAGAGCAGTGTGGACAGGCCCCATTCTTCTGTCTGAACAAGAAGAGGGGGAACAGGCCTAGGTTCTAGGGAATGAAAGTAGGTGCAACCCACCACCCGCATCCTCCCTGGCCCTACAACCACGGCCTTGGCTTTCTTTTCTTATTTTTGTGGACCATTTTTAAAGTCTTTATTGAATTTGTTACAATATTGCTTCTGTTTTTATAAATTTATTTATTTATTTTTGGCTGTGTTGGGTCTTCGTTTCTGTGCGAGGGCTTTCTCTAGTTGTGGCAAGTGGGGGCCACTCTTCATCGCGGTGCGCGGGCCTCTCACTGTCGCGGCCTCTCTTGTTGCGGAGCACAGGCTCCAGACGCGCAGGCTCAGCAGTTGTGGCTCACGGGCCCAGCTGCTCCGTGGCATGTGGGATCTTCCCAGACCAGGGCTCGAACCCGTATCCCCTGCATTGGCAGGCAGATTCTCAACCACTGCGCCATCAGGGAAGCCCCACAATATTGCTTCTGTTTTATGTTTTGGTTTTTTGGCCCCGAGGCATGTGGGATCTAGCTTCCCGACCAGGGATCGGACCCTCACCCACTGCACTGGAAGGCAAAGTTTTAACCACTGACCACCACCAAAGTCCCAGCCTTTTTTTCTTTCTTTTGTGGATTTTTGTCTCTCTGGGGCTGTAATGAGGTGACACATATTTAGGCAAGTGGACTCATGAGCTTTCTCCTCTGAGGCAGTGGGTCTCAAGTGCCTGGCTCACCTGGCACTCACTTCTGGGACTTGTGACCACCACAGGGTCCAGACCCGCCACCCTTCCTGTGGTCAGCCTTTAGTGACCAGGGCTGGGGGAGCTGAGGGAGAGCAGGGGCCTAGGCTGGGAGGCAGAAAGGGAAGGTTCTTCCTGGTGCCCACCCGCCTGTCACTGTCCCCACAGGTGGTAGAGTTGCCAGTGACAGAGCGTCAGATAGAGCGTGAGCACCTCATCCAGCTGCGGCGCTGGCAGGATACCCGGGGTGAGTTGCAGTGCCACTCTCCACCCAGGCTGCACGGTGCCAAGGCCATCCTGGAGGCAGAGCCAGGCCCGTGGCCCACCCTGCAACCTTCACCGTCCATCCGCCTGCCCCCAGATGCCCCCCTCCCTGGTTCCAAAGGCAAGTACAAGCCGCCCAAGCAGGTCCAGAAGGAGCAACAGAAGCAGGCGAAGGCGAGTGGGCAGCGGGACAAGCCCCCGACCCCAAGTCAAGCCAAGGTGGCAGCTGCTGCGGGAGACGCATGTCCCCCACGGGATGTGCCCCCAAAGGACCCGGTCTACCAGGACCCCCAAGACTCAGCTCCCCAGGACTCAGCCTACCACTGCTCCCAGGAGAGCCTGACGTCCCAGGAGAGTGAGGACACCTACTTGTAACCCTGGCAGCTCAGGCCCCTGGGCTGGGGTCTCCACACACCTACACGGTTCACGGACTGACACTCCAGGGCCTGCCCACTCTCTGAGGGCCTGGCTGCCTGGCCCCTGGGCGGCAGAGAGTCTAGCTGGCCCAGCACAGATTCTGCCTGAGCCTCCTTATTTATTTTCTCCAGAGTGGAGCTTGGGCCGGCCTAGCTGGGGCAGGCAGAAGTGAGGGCCGATGGGTGGGGCCTCACTCAGCACCCGCCTCCTGAGGGGATGCTCCCCAGGGCTAGGGCACTGACGTGAGGGGAAAGGGAGGGGAAAAGGGTGGGGTGCTCTTTGTGTAAAATAGAAACATGGTTTTGTACAGAAATAAACAAGGCTTGTATAGAGAGCTGCTGTGTAGCTAGGGACTGGGAAGGGGGTGCCAACCCTGGTGCGCAGCATCTCTTCTGCACACCCTCCAGAGCCCCCCATCCCGGTCACAGCCCAGCACTAGAACCTCTCTGAGAAGTAACTTTGCCAGAGGAGATGCCAGGTCTAGCGCCAGCCCCTATTCCTGGCCCCTGTATCCCCTTACTCCATCCCCTCTGCCCCATGGCCACCATATGCCATGGATGAGGGTCACCAGTGCTGGGGCAAAGCAGGGCCTGCTCCCAGGCTTTGATGCCTACCCATCACAGAAGGGGAGGGGCTCCTTAAGGAGGTCCTTTCAGGGTCTTCCTCTTCCAAGGGCTGGCCTGGATGCCACTTCGGGCCCCAGTAAGGTACTGAGTGCTCATTCTGGGTCAGGTGCTGGTGCCAAGGGTGGGTGATCATGAATGCCCTCACATGCTCAGCCCAGGGCTCCATCAAAGTTAGAGGGGTGCGGGGCAAAATCTGGATCTGTGATAAAAGGTCGCCTGCCATTTACTGAGCACTTAGCATATGCCTGGCTGCACTGGTTGTGTCACGTGTTTGATCAGGTAGGCTTTATTATTATCCCCACTTTACAGATGAGGAAACAGAGGAGCTGAGTGGGAAAGATGAAGCTGATCCAGATTTGTACCCAGAGCCCCTCACTACCTCTCCTGACTAGGGTGACCGGACTCTGCCATCGAGGACCCATGCAGGCACTATGGTCACAACTGATGACCAGCAAGGGCGAGGACAGGGTGTCCCTGGGAGAGGCCCCCCTTCTGCTGAGGAAGCAGCTTTTCCAGTCAAACAATAGTGGCTGTTCCTGGCAGGCCACCAAGCTGGGCCAGGCCATGGGGGAAGGGGGAGAGAGAGGAGTAAAGCCTCCCTGGGAGCTTTTAGGCATTGCAGGGCCTCGGCCTGGAACATCTTGTTCTGGTACAGCTGGGGATACTGAGGCCTGAGGAGGTCAAGGGTCGCATGAACCTGTCAGAGCAAGCGATCCACCTCCTACCTCCTACCCCTCACCCCTGTGGCTCCCTACCCCATCTGCACCTGCCATCAACGAGATGAGGGGCTCAGCCTTAGAGGACACTCCCCTCCCCCTGGCCCTCCAGGGGACTGGCCAGGATGTGGTGGTTTCAGTGTTCCACTGGGATCCACCATGCCGGAGAGTCCAGCGGGAAAGGTGCTGCCCCACTTCCATTCGCCTACAGTAGAGGCCCCCGAGCAGGCAGGAGGCCTGCTCAGGCCTGCTGGATCCCAATCAGACCTGAGGCCTGCTTTAACCTGTTTGGTTCAAAGCCTCGCATCTGAGGCCTGCAGACACTCGGGCCAAACAAGGGCCCCTGGAGCGTGTTCCGTCCTGCTAGGAGCCAGCCTAGGTGTGCTGGTGCCTGCTCAGCACTGGGGTTTTCGTAGACCTGAGGAGGCCAGCCCTAATGTTGAAATGAGCCTAAGTTGGCACTAACAAGCCTCAGATCTGGGGTGTCTGCCAGTGCTGGGGGGGCCTGCTTGGGCATGAAGCAACTTTAGATGTGCTCAGGCCACGTAAGTTCTGCTAATGACTGCAGGCTTAAGTCTCTGCTGAGAGCTGAGTACCCAGTGAGCCCCAGATGCATGGCCCTGTTCCCGCAAAGTTTGAGTTTTGGGCAAGTGTTAGGCCTGGCCACCCTCAGCTCCCTACCCCACAGCATGCTGCTCAGAGGTGGCTGGAGCCCTCCCTTTTCTGAAAGTTGGGTGAGAGGAACAGATGTGGGGGCCACCAAGTCCAGGTTAGGTTTCACCTTGTCAGTCCACTGACAGGGCTCACAAAGCAGGGAGGGGTATGTATCAACACCAGTCCTGGACAGCCCTTGCTGGGGTACTTTTGTCTCCGCCACCCCAGCCAGCTCTGGTGGCCCTGCACCATGCTGAGCCATGAGAAGGAGGGGGACAGACGCCAGGACACTGTTGGCTGAGAACCACAGGGTCGCCTGGGCTGCACAGTGGACCCCACCCCTCCGTGTTCCACGGATTTGGGGGCAGCGTTCTGTCCCAGCCCAGCCCCAGTTCGTCTTGTGGCCCTCCAAGGCTCAGTGAAATTAATCATAAGATGCGGGCCCAAGGACAGAAATGACCCCAAGCATCCGCTGGCTCCGGACCCCAGCGCAGCGGGCGTCCAACGGAAAGGGCGGAGCCCGGAGAGGGGGCGAGGCACGGGCCGGGCCTAGAGGACTCGAGGCGGGTGGGGTCAGAGGGTGATTCCCGAGCCACTGACGAGGGGGGAGGAGGCAGCAGGGGCGGAGTTCGGCGGGCTGGAAGGAGAGGAGTGTGGCTCCGGCGTTAGAAGGAGGCGTGGCCACCCTGGATTGGCCGCCCGTCCCGCACGGCGTGGCCGTCAGGGAGCTGGCGTAGGTGGCGGCGTGGACTCGGCCGCCCACCGGCTCCTTTAAGCCCCCCGGCACCGCCCCCACCGACCCGCCCCAAGCACGGCCTGGGCCAGGTTGGCAGCGGGGTCGGCTCCGCGCGGGCAGCGATGGAGCTGCACATCCTAGAGCACCGGGTTCGGGTGCTGAGCCTTGCCCGCCCCGGTCTCTGGCTCTACACTCACCCGCTCATCAAGCTGCTCTTCCTGCCCCGCCGAAGCCGGTGCGCGCCCGGGTTCGGGGCACATATGGGGGTGGGCTCCACTGTCGCTTTGGGACGGGGTCGGGAGATTAGGACCGCCGCGGGGCCAGCGGCAGCAGGCGGGGAGAGCCCTATCTGCCACCCTCCCTCCCCCCGCCATCCGGCCTGGGCCTACGCTCCCTGGGACCGCCGCCTATCCGGCCCCGTGAGGCCCCCTCCCAGGGCCGGTTAAGGCGCAAACAGCCTGGGATGGTCAATGCTTAACTCCTAGTGGTGTCAGGTGGGGGCATTCCTTCCTGGCGACCGCGGGGAGCTTTTTCCAGATGCCTCCCATCGGGTCAGAGGGGCTGGTCTTGGGGGCCCAAGGTCCGACGCCCCGGGACTGTCACCGCGGGTGAGCCTCTCCTCCCTCCCGGAATGGAGGGGCAGGGGGCTCCTGCAGAGGTCGGGGAGGCGGAAAGGAGTCCGCAATTCCGGAGATGGGGCACACACCCCACTGTCCTGGGAAGAAAACTGGGAGGCTTGAGGGGGCAGGGAGGCGCCCGGCGGGGGTCTACCCGCCCCCTCCGCCCCACCCAGGCTGAAGATGCCCCCGCCCCCCAACCAGGTGCAAGTTCTTCAGCCTGACGGAGACCCCCGAGGATTACACGCTCATGGTGGACGAGGAGGGCTTCAAAGGTGGGGGCTGGGCTGGGGAGGGGGAGTAGGGGAAGGAGACTGCGTTCTTTGCGAGATTCTCACCGAATGCTAGGATCCAAGGTCGCAAGAGCTGGGGCCTTGAAGGAGAATGGATCTGGGTTCGAATCCATTTCCACTATTCACTGGCTGTGTGCCCTTGAGCAAGTCACTTCCCCTCTCTGAGCTGTTTGTTTCCGCTTATGTAAAGTGGGTATAGTTACAGTTCTGATCTTATAGGGTCCCACGAGGGCTTTATAATGGGGCTGTGTGTGGAGGACACTTAGCAGCCGCAGGCCAGCAGCAGGGCCTCAGTTACAGTTCTGGGGCAAGAATCGGGTTTCTGTGGCTGTTTCACCACCACCCCCATCTGCCTTTGGACTATTTCTCCTTGGACTTCTCTGCCTGGTGTGGGTCACCCCCTCCCGGACTGGTCTGGCAACTCCAGGAGTCTGAGGGTTGGGGAAGGAATGCAGGCAGCCAGCCCAGGGCAGGATCCTGGCCGGCCTCCTAGCCAGCCTCCTAGCTGTGCTTGGGCGATTAGCAGCCTGCCTGGTTGTGGCCCCTGCTCTGGACTGGACGCCAGCCTGGTCCCTCCCTGGTCCCTGGAGCTGACATCTGCCTTCTACTCCTGCCAGCTTGACCCATCCTGACAGGCCTGGAGCCTCAGGCCAGCCAACTGGGGCTTGGTCCATCCCGCATAGCGCCACTTCAGGCCTTAGTTTCCCTATTTGTGCAGCAGAAAAGTCTTGGTCTGCTCAGAGGGAAGGGCATCCCCCAGCCAACGTGGTCTGCTGGCTCCCCCTGGTGGTGCCATGTGGTATAAGGCATCTGAACCCACAGAATACTGTTATCCCATTCTACAGAGGAGGAAACTAAGGCTCAGAGAAGTTAAATCATTTGCCCCAGGTCAGCAAAAAGTAAATGGTGAGGCTGGGATTGGAACCCAGCTCTGTCTGGATTTGGAGCTCCGATCTTAACTGGGAAGTTACAATCCCTGATAGGCCAACACCTGAAGCACCTCTCAGTCCTTGCAGACATGCAGGTCTCAGGAGCAGAACTTGGGGGAGGAAGACAGCTCCAGTCTCCAGACCTGACCTGACCTTGGTAGAACCCTCCAAGGCTCAGACAGGGAAACTGAGGGCAGGGTTCAGCCCTGTAGGCCCTGACTGGGCATGTGCCCCCTGCCCCACAGAGCTGCCCCCATCTGAGTTCCTGCAAGTGGCTGAGGCCACGTGGCTGGTGCTGAACGTGTCATCCCACAGTGGCACAGCAGTGCAGGCTGCTGGGGTCACCAAGATCGCCCGCTCAGTAATTGCACCGCTGGCCGAGCACCACGTGTCAGTGCTGATGCTGTCCACCTACCAGACAGACTTCATCCTGGTGAGTTTCCTGCAGGTGCTGGTGTGGGGCAGGGTGGGCATGGGTGCCTGGGGACCCATGTGTTGTGCCATCTCCTGTGGCCCAGGTGCGAGAGCAGGACCTGTCCGTGGTGATCCACACGCTGGCCCAGGAGTTCGACATTTATCGAGAGGTGGGCGGGGAGCCTGTGCCCGTTGCCAGGGATGATTCCAGCAACGGCTTTCCCCGTGCCCAGCATGGTGAGGGCCGCCCTCTGACACCCAGGCCTGGGCAGGGGCTCCTCTTCCCACTGGGCCCCTTCCCTTGTGCAGGTGGGTCTGTGGGCTTAGGGAGACCAGCTGACACTGACCC